GTGACAAATCGCAATAACATTGTTCCATCTTCAGACGTCGCGTATTGTATGGAAGCTGCAAACGTGACATAAAAATGTCCTCCACATCGAAGGAAAGGTTAGAAGAATGTATAGAATGTAGAAAAAGCTCACGTAGAATGGCAGATCCCATGGATAACATGCAAGGAGAAATAGATAAGGAAATTACATAGACACATATAAAGAATTTGATCAGGTATTTGCCTTCAATTGCTAACATCACGCATTAGAAATAACTGAAATAAGAATTAACAATGTCATTCAGTGCCAACTGAATTATAAAAAAATTTATAGAAAATAATAAGGGAAAAAGAAATGGGGAAGAAAAGAAGAAAACAAAAACAGAATAGTAAAGGAAAAGAAATGGTTCAGATATCTATCTTTTACTGTTAATAACATATATCAGGAGTAACTAAAAAATGATTCATCAATGTTTGTTTTTGGCTGCCAACTAAATTATTAGAGGATTTGTACTAAAGAAGAAAAAATGTTTTTGACTGCCAACTAAATTATTAGAGGATTTGTACTAAAGACGAAAAAAGGAGGGACAACATAAGCAGTACAAACAAAGAGAAGAAAGATAAGAGGGCATTTGTAAGCATCACTGAAACCAATCTTAGAAGAGTGACTGAAATATTTGAGAACAAAACAAAGATGAAAATATTTAAAAAAATGTGAAAGAACTAAAAAACAAAACCTAATAGCTTCTGTTGAACGTGAAGAACGACAATAGGAAAGCAAGAAATACTGTTGTGGTAAAAAAGCAAGGGCAAGACGGCGTGAAGAAAAAGAAGAGGAATAAAAGCTCAGGAACTTCAGAAACATAAAAATGACCAAAACTGGCTAACCAACAACAGATGCAGGAGTAAAAGAATAAAACAAAAACCCTACAATAAAATCAGATGAAGAGTAAACCATTTCAGAGTAGAGGATGACAATAACAGCACAAATCCTCAATAATTCGGGCAACATCAAAAACCATTAAATCGCTATAAACAATTACTCGATAAATGGTAATAGTAAAAGAAGATAACGTCATCATCGCCGTTAACGACGTTAATGTAAAAGAAGAACAAACTGTTGACAAAACAGGATAAGTAAAAGAGCATAAATCTTAAATAATCGGGGTAACGTCAAAACCTGCTAAATCACTATAAACAGTTACTTAATGCATGGAAACAATAAAAGAAAAATACTACATCATGAACAAAGAAGAAGGCACATCATACACAGAACATAGTCTTGACAGATTAAGATAACAAATAGAATAGAAACCTAAATTTTACTCAAATAACAATAACTTATATAATATAAACAATAAACAATATGTTAGAAATAATATTAACAAACTCAATACAAACGCAATCATAACATAAAATAGTCAGCAGATATATCAACAACTCAATATATGCACATAAGAAATCATACCAATATAATACACGGTTTTTAAAGCAGTTAAAAATAACGTGGAAAAAGTAAGAATGAAGTACCTCAGACCAATAACGAAAGTGGACAAATTTGATGTAGGATAAGTAAAAAAAAAAAAACTCCACAACAAAAAAAAAAAAAAAAAAAAAAAAAAAAAAAAAAAAAAGAAAAAGACGCACTATTCAAAACTGAAGAAAAGAGAGAAAGTAGAGAAGATAGACTGTAATAGTCTGAGAACGAAAACAAAAATAAAGCCAAAGACGATAAGCATAAAGGAGAAAACAATATATTTATACAAACATAGACTTGTGAGTATTTCCCGATGAAAAATCCTGCAAACAGAGCTCAATACATGTAATAATTAGTTAAAAACAGATGTTACGCTGCATGAAAACTACTGCAGAACGGAGTGAATAACCTGCAAACAGTAAAAAAAGACATCCCTTAGAAAGAATTACAGGACACTAAAAACAAATGTTTAAACATTCCTGACTAACAAAACCTGCAAACAAAGATGAAAACATATAATAATTTGTGAAAAACAGGTGTTACATAGCATGATAACCACCGGGAAACAGAACTAATAATCAACAGACAGTAAAAAACAACACATCCCTCATACAAAATTACACAATAAGGAAAAACATACACACACACAAACAAATAAGGAAAACGACAACACAACAACGTATGTGCAAAGAAAAAAAATTTATGAACAGAGTACAGATGAGAAAACAACCAAAATAGACAAAAGAGGAAAAGGATAAAACGAAAAAAAGCAAGCTTTTTAAAACTCGAAACATCTGAGCATAAGGAACATAACAATGCAGAAATAAAAAAAAAATAACACCAGAAGGACAAAAAGAAAAAAAAAAGCAAAAAGAAGTAAAAAAAAATAATGACAAATTTATCCGAAAGAAGGAAAAAGAAAAGAAAACTGAAAACCCCATTAGAGAAAAAATATTCAAATGATAGAAGAACCAAAATAGACAAAGAAAAGAAGAATAAGACTTGGAAAAAAAAGTAAAAGAAAAAAATCATTATTATAAAAACCTAAAAAAAATTTCTACTTTTGAAAGAAAGAACGAAACCATAAATTAAGAGGGAAAAATTGAAAGGGAAAAAAGCATAGAATAAATCCGCAAATCACTGGAAGAAAGACCAAAAACAAAAACAAAAAAAAAACAAATTCAAAGAGGAAAACCCTAAAACCGCAAATCACTGGAAGAAACAACAAAAGTAAACCAAAAACAAAAACAAAAAAAACAGATTTGAAGAGGAAAACCCTAAAAAGCAAAGAATACCCAAACGACAAAAAAATTGATAAAATTTCCAAAGAGAAGAAAACCTAGAAACTCCACCGAAACATAACCCATAAGATTAACTCATATACATAACAAACTGAAACAAAGCCCCAAAAAATCTCAAAAAAAAAATTTTTAGAAAAAGAACCCTAAAAAGCTAAAAATACCCAGACAGCAAAAAATGGAGAAACAACAAAAATTTACCAAGAGAAGAAAACGTAAGAACTTCACCAAAAAAATAACCCATAACCTCAGCCCATTATCACATAAGAAACCCAAAAAAAGCTGAAATGAACCCACGAAAAGCGCAACCAAACCCAGAAACATAAAATGGGGAAAAAACTTAGAACCAAAACACAATAAACGAGAAGAAACCATAAGGAAAACGAAGAGGATGTGTGGAGAAGAAACGAAGAAGAGGAGCTTCAGCGAAAGAGACAACAAAAGGTAAGAGATTGAGGCGTAGAAGCAGGAACGAAAAAAGCAGGAACGAAAGAAGCAAGAAGCTTCTCGAGAACGGTAAGAAAAGACCACCGCACCAAATGATGAAAATGCCCAGAAGAAAAACACAGGAGCAAAATAAAATTGAGAACAAAATGATAGAAACAAATTATAGGGGACACGAACGGCATTTTCCAAAATGGTAAACACAAATAGGACCGGGCACTGTTCAAGGAACAGTAAACCCGGTGCCTACTTTAGTAGTACGTATAATATGCAAGTAAATTCTCTCCCAATCAATTTCACCAACATGTAATTACCAATGAAAAGAATTTGTTTTCTTCCAGATCCGTAATACATAGTATGGGGGAAAAAGTAACTTGAAACGGACAACAAAAGCCAAAAAAAAAGACGATCATCAGATTATGGACATCCATTTTGAACCTTGCAATTTGAAAAAAATTCCCTTGATGACGGTTAGTATTAGTAAGAGGGAAAAAAAAAAAAAAAAACCTCCCACCTTTTATCAAAATATTTTGTTCCCTCCTACGTTTTTATCAAAATATTTTGCAATCTATGTGGAGGGAACGGTTTTGCATGGATCCCGTGGATTAGTTGGGGCAAAGTCTCGGAACAGTTATTTAGAGAAAAAAAAGTCAGAACTCTTTACGTTTCTTTAATCTCTTCATCTCGATAACTTTTCCCCTACGTAAACTGACTATTGAATCCATGAACTGACTACAAGAACGAACATATTTGGACTAGGATAAGCAATTTTAGTCTAATGGCCATTAAAAATTCTCTCAAATGACACAATTTTAAGCATTTTCTTTAAGGCCAAGGAGTCAAATTACAGAAATTACCTACTTCAAGTTACAGAGAGTGGCACGACAATTCAACAAGCTGGCGTTAATATTATAACCATTGATCCCTTTGAAAGTGAGTAGCACATGCAGATAAATTATCCAATTAGTGTTCAAGAAGATTTTTATGGCTAAAGAAATGAAAGAGAAAATACCTTATGCGAAGACATATTTTTTTCCTTCTGGTGGAAGTGGAATGCCGAGCCTTTTCAAATCGTCATATGACATTGGTCGTCGAATTACATAAAAGGTGAATGAAATCAGTTAATTTCTATAAACAATCGAACTTTTCTTTTTTTGGGTTAAAATAAAAAGAAAGGACTCAAAAGACAGCAGAAGGTATTAATCTTATTGCATTGTTCTTAAGCACTTAGTTCACTAATGCAAGCAGCTAAATACTATAAGTGGCAAATTCTCAGTGCCCTAATAAGTTGCTGAACAATAGGTTTCAAACAATTTAATCATATTCAACAAAGTTTGAAATCAACACAAATTCGCACCAAACAGCATCAAGCTATTTACAAGATTGAATGAGAAAACACTCCAAATGCACGTTTAAGGCAAAAAGGTAGTTGATCTTTACGAGAAATGATTATAACAACAACAATAATAATGACAATAATAAAAGACCTAGATGCTGCAACGCTTTTAACCTTGCTGAAAATGAAGGGCCAATTGACCAGTCCCAGAGTCTTAGGTATACTTTCTCAAGGCCACATATCTTATGAGTAACCACTGAGTTTCGTGCTTCCCAAACATTGTAGGGCTCCATCGGGGCCCCAGTTTAAAATTGAGCATGCTTAGTAGGATTGAGAATTTCAGGGATGTGGAAAGCTACAATAGGTATGACCTATATGTTCACAAGACAACTCGGCCTAAAAATCAAATAAAAGATCTTTTGAACCATACCACTTAAAAGTTTCCTTTTCCCCTCATTCTAGAGAGTAATTCTAATCAAGGTTTTAAAAGGCGGAAACGAGAACTGAATCATTTTGTCTAATTGAGACAAGGTGTAAGCCTCGAATGAAACAAAAAAAAAAATCATAAATATGCCATAAATAATCCAAAAAATGAACATAAACACCATCAACTTTCAAATAATTCTCATTCTCATCTTCCAAATCTTCTTCTTTAGTCAGTACAAGTTTCTTCTTGTCCCCCTACATTAAGAAATGCCAACATAATTTTCAGTGAAATGTGAAAAATAAAACAATAAATTAATAACATAGTAAATCAGTTAATAATTGCATAAATCACTATAATTATTTGTCACTAAATTAAATTCATAACATAATTACATAGTTACCTAATTCACTATAGTTATAATACAAATTTCAAAGTATAAAACAGCAAAACAACAAATTAAAAAAAACGCTAGTTGTCTTTAAAAAAAACAGAGAGAATAATAAATTATAAGGGCCTTGTATTGCATCTTATCTCAAAACTTAAAAAAAAAAAAAAAATAGAAAGGAAACTTTTCTATTTATCAAACTTGAATAAAAAAAGGAAAGAAACAAATAAGAGCCACGTTTCCATCAACGTGGCACCAAAACACAAACACAGAAGATTAAAAGTCTCCACTCTTCATGACTATTCAGATTCAGGAAAATAAAAATAATAATAATAAAAAGCTATCTCCATTACTTAAGAGTTAAGAAGAAGGGTGAGTAGCCCTCTCTGTAGCCTAGACGTTTGGTGTGCTTTCCACTTTCCACCAGGTCAGAGGTTCAAGGGCTGTAGTGGGAGAGAGAGAAGAAGAAGGGTGAGTAGAAGTACCGTCAAGTTTCCCAGTCGTCGGAGTTGCTATGTATTACTGCCGTAGTTGTTCAGACTTTAACATCGTTTTATTCTTCTCCAGCAACATCATTTTATTCTGCTCCAGCAGTTCAAAATCACTTTAGGTTCACAACTTTCCTTCTTTTTCTTTTCAGATCACACTCCAGCAGCAATTAAAAGGGGCTTAAAACAGCAGCCCAAAAAACACCATAAAAAATCATAAAAGTCGGCCCAAAATTCTTCAAGAGGCCCTTGCCAGTCAGGCTAACGCCTCAAACGCTTCAAGGCGTAGCCTCAAAGCGAAATGTTGGAGGCGTAAGCCTCGTTCAATACGTGAAAAACGTAGCCTCAAATCGCCGAGTAGCCGCCTCAGTTTGAGGCGCGCCTCGTGGCGTTTGAGGTGAACGATTTTCACTGTCCTGATAGCAATAGCTGTAACAATGCTCAAAGTTTCTTTCTGGTGTAGCTTCTTTCCCTTCCCAGCATCCTATCCTAAGTGTTATTCCATCATGGTACCACCTACTTCATGGTACGCCTTATCCCGCAATATATTCCTAGATTATGGCATACAGCAAAGTTCTGACTGTTTTATTGCATGAATTTATGAGTAGACTGAGTAAAATATACACATGAGATTGAAGTCAAGCATACAGGGGTGATCGAAAAGGCCTCTCCATCCTCCAAAACGAAGCTTTCCTATTCCTTCTAACCAGCAAGACCCCCTGCTGTCAAAAGATGACAAAATCAACACAAGAGCTAGGCAAACACAAATATAATCAACGCCTTAAGAGAAAGGAACTTACCATTAGTTTCCAAACTCCAGCAGAATATGAACAACCACAAAACCAATCTTATAGAAACAATACTCTTCATGCAGCAGTTTAAAATTCTTTCTGCTAAGCAAGAGAACACACACACACACACAAATTCAAAATACCAACTCAAAATTTAAGCGGGGGGGAGCAAAAGAGAATTTCAAACTACAAAAAAAGCGAAATAGAAAAAGTCTGGAGTCTATTATTGAATATATGACTACGAGATTATTAAGTCCAAGATTATTTCTCAAGCTTCAGCAATCTATCCCAAGTAATTTACACAACGAACTTCATCCCCTCCACCACATCACAAAAAAAAAAAAAAAAAAAAAAAAAAAAAAAGAAGGAAAAAGAGAGAGAAAAATCATACGTCAGAGAGAAAAACAGAGAAGAACGGAACAAGAAATTTTTTTGCCAAAAAACCCAAATAACAAATTCACACTTTCAGTAATTCATTACCCAAAAACTATAATTGAAAGATTGAACAAAACTATCTTCTAGCCATTAAATTAGGGCTATGAACAAAAAATTGCAAGCATGTCATAAGTGACCCTGTTTGCCTTGGCGTTAGTAACAAATCATTAACAATCCAACTTTTAACAAGGATTAGTGCGCACAGATGCATGTGTACATCAGAAGAACAAAAGCAAATACCAGAGAAAATGCACAAACTAATCAATTCAGGCAGTATATAATATTCCAAAGAAACAAAAGTAACAATCATCAACACAACTGGCATGAAAAGTTCTTGCCCTTTACCAGAATTTCAAATTCTGAGGATTGATAAAATAGATAAATCAACTCTTGGTAGTAGGGCTGCCTCTGCTAAAAGAATGTCAGCTGATATTATACTAAGTATGATAGCCAAAACTTTCTCAAATTGCTTTGTTAGTATGTAGTGCCAAAGAAACTCTACAAAAAGAACTTTAACTTTCCCTGCAAGATGTTGTTACAAGATAAGCTACATAGTGGTTTTTAAAAAAGAAACTATTCCTGAAAACAAAAATTTTTTAAGAACACCGCATCTCTTCCATAGGAGTTGTTGTTAGTGTAGCCTAGATCGATCATATAATAATCAAAATGAAATAGAAAACATATGATAAAAGGGCTAACCTTTGCATCGTTCTTTTAACACTTACCCATGTGTTCTTTATTTTCCAAAACAAAAGAGAAACTACTTCTCCTCTCCAAGTCATCCACAAAACATGCTTAATTTTTGGTTAATCCCTCAATCGCCTCTTAAGAAACAAACAAGACAGATAAGTAGAAGTCAATAAAATTTCTACATTTAGCATCCCGTCTTGAATTGCAATAAATTGGAAAGAGATGAGGGGTGAGATATCACAAAATAAAACTTACTAACATCAATCATGATGAAGTTTTGCTAACTGAAGCGTTTTATTCGAACCTTCTTCTCCTATCAAGAAAAAATATGCTAACTGCAAAAACCTTCTTAATACTTTTTTCTCTTTCCAAAAAGAACAAAAGATATTATTTCAATCAACCAATGTTCTATCCTACCATTTTAAGCAAGTCATCAGCCAAAATTTCAAAAGCTAGAAATTTACCAGATTCCGGTATACAAGAAAATAAGAATTAAAACGATTATAGTAAATGCAAATGAGGATAAGAAAATCTAATGCTTTGTATACGCTAACTACCAATACAAGAACCTAATTTAAAACCTATTATAAGAACTGATCCTCATACGGTATCATTATCACTTCTTAACCATAAAAAAAGGCTTAAAAATCCAAAATGGTCATCTATTTACAAAATTTCAGCTCGTTTATAGAAGCGTACAAGAAATAAGAGCATTTGGCGACTTAAACAATCCAATTAGCAGTAGTTTTTAAAAGTTTCAGCCCATCCATAGAACAAAAAAAAAATATAGATCCATTTGAGAATTGGGAACATTAAATGAAAAAAGTAACTTTAGCAACCCACAACCAAGCATTCTCTGCTTCCTAAAAAACTGCTACATTCACTTTTTTTTTCCTCTCACGTTTCAACAACACCACCATAATTCTCCTTATATCCAAAACCATACCTTAATGTCCATCTAACCACTCTCACAACATAACTCCACTAACATATTTCCTTTTTCAACATTTTTTTTTATGTTGACAATAACCAACAACACTTGAAGTTTTGTTTCAGAACCTTTTGAGCTTCTTTATTGTTTATTTATAGTGCACACTCTTCAAAATGAGGTCATGAGAAGATAGAAACTTAGAATTCCATTTAATTTGCTGAAAGGAGTTCCTCTTTCCTCCAGCCTTACAATATGCTAGCCAGATGAAAATCAGTACACAGCCAACTTTTGCCCACAGCTAAAATCTTTAAAATGTTCAGCAACCAAGTTTGAATAGATGCCAATGGAAGGTGACAACATGTTATCAGTCTATCCTTACTATTATAAAGTACTTCTTTCTTGATTTAAAATCAATTGGAGATAGTTATGTGAGGCCATGTTTTTCCCTTTTTTAAGAAAATAAAATTAATTTCAGAAATGTATTGCACCAAATCAAATCAACTAATCAAGAATGCATGTTAGGACTTAAAAGCTAAAAAAAGAGTCGAGTAAAATAACAGCATATCAGATGATTTCCATAACCTTTTATTTCCAATGCTGGCAAAGGATCAACAGCCGCTTTAGATGAAGTGGCACCAACCCTCAATGGGATATACACGTGAGATTGCAAATATATATAT